CACGATTTGTAAAGTTTCTGTGAACTTTTGAGCTGGATTGCGGTTCGTTATCTCCATGTTTTATTATTCATGGAGTTGGTATCTATTTATTCCATGTTTCGCCTTATAGCTTCGATTCAGAGATTCATCTCAACATTTAGATCAGAGATATATGAAAATAACAAAGCCAATTGTAATGGATATAACTGGACAAGAAAGTCGCAAGTGCATCCGGCTTCAATCCGTAAAAAAAGCGAACAACTTTTACCCTGATGGTACGAATTCACATAATTATTAACACTTCTTCGTAGAGAGAATATCAACAACATGAAATCTATGTCACAAATAATTTTATAACTGGTATCTGCTAGCTAACGGGAAGGATGGTCATGTTACCATTGGATACTTATCCTGGCGCTTAATTACAATTTCCATGCTGGAGTAACTTTCATTGATATCGGAATCTGCATTATATAAAACACTTCCTAAAAGTGCAGATAAATATTCTACTGTCATAAACTTGTATTATGCCTGGGCTCAGGCCATTGCAACCCTTTTGTTGTAGATTATGGGATTAATTTTTATTAATGTTGCAATTAACATTCAAAGATAATCGTTGATTGAAATATCTTTCAACACGGGATGCTTACATTTCATTACAGATGCATGCAGTGAACATTTTTGTCAATGCTAGAAACACGCTGCACTTTAAATGTGGTTTTCGAATAATCAGTAACATCCTAGGAAATAATTAAAAGTTAATAATGCTTTCATAAAGGAAAAAAGTATTAAAAGGTTTGTTTATTAAACTAGGATCATAAAGATCATAAAGATAGCTACTTAAAGAGGCTGGGGGTGGCAGCCATTTTCAGACTATTTCGATCTCCTTTAAAAGAAGAGCACAATATAAAGATATACAAAATGATCAAATTTTGAAACTAAAATGTATGATTTTTTTCTTTGCTAAATAATAGTTGACAGCTTAAGATACCATATCTTAAAAATATAAGTTAAATCTGTTGGATAATTTACTGACCCCCCAGCCTCCTTAAGCCATCGTTCAAAAAATTGTTTGGTTGCCCTCTCCCGACCGACTATAAATGGCCCGATTCAAAACTTTTTTTTTTTACATTCCAGGCCCCAGGATCATGAAACTAAGACTTAAGTCAAATTTTCCATCGCTTGTAAAATGCGATTTAATCTTACTGAATTAATCTCAAAATTTTCAAATAACAGCAATTTTATCAATAAACTAGAGGTACTGTGAGCAATGAGCTCACTAAATGATACCCCCCGCCTCCCATTTGAATAAAATGGCAGTGTCCATGTTTTGCTCTGGAAAATCCAAAATATATGTCAGATCAAAAAGTAAAATAGGAGGTGCACAATGGCAATATGTAATAAAGATTCTATGAAAGTTTCATCAAATTTCATTCAGTGGTATGGGAGGAGTTGCGGATAAGAGATGGGTACCCCAAAGCGTAACAGACGGACGGACAGACAGACGGACGGACGGACAGACGTACAGACGGACGGAATTAACGATTACTATATACCCTCCCGCTTTTCAAGCGGGGGGTATAATAATGAAACATATTGTAATTTTGATCTGCTTGACTTCCAAACCATTAAAATACGATATGAATATTTTGACTTAACATTCTTCATGATTCTGGACCAGGACTCATTTTTATACCCCCCGCTTGAAAAGTGGGAGGGTATATAGTAATCAGTATTTCCGTCCGTCCGTCCGTCTGTTACGTTTTGGGGTACCCATCTCTTATCCGCAACTCCTCTCATACCACTAAAGGAAATTTAATGAAACTTTCACAGAATCTTCATTACATATTGCCATTGTGCACCTCCTATTTTACTTTGTGATCTGACATATATTTTGGATTTTCCAGAGCAAAACATGGACACTGCCATTATATTCATATGGGAGGCGGGGGGTATCATTTAGTGAGCTCATTGCTCACAGTACCTCTAGTTTTCTTTTTATATCTCTTATCCCGTCAACAAATACGTTAAAATTTTGTGGAAAAAATATTTTCCCACCTACTTACCGACCCAATAATTTTCCCCTGAGTCGGGTGAGGACAAGCAAATATTATTTTAAAGATGGCGTTAATTAAGGAAGCTTAAAACAAAACTTTGAAGCTGTGATGATATATATTTTTGTCTTATCTGGAATTAAATGACGTTGTTATTGAATTTTTGAATTATAAAGAACTTGCAAGTTTTCATTGGAGTTTACATATTCGACTTTGTGTCGTTTTCTTTTCTTTCTTTCTTTCTTTTTTTTGCGCTCAGTTTTATTTAAAAAAAATCTTACAAAGCTCTTCCACTATATCTGACAGAAATTCAGGTTACAGATTTTAAGATGTATTACCGATTCCTAAAAAAGGTTGGTTTAACTATCCTTAGGATATATGTAGACAGTCTCGACCTATTACAGAGTGATCCCACCACTGTCATTTCTTTGATTCCCTCAACAGTTAGTCTAACGCTGTTTAAGTTGAAAGTGCTTCGATTATTGGATCAGATAATTTAATCATTATCCTTGACCGAAAGATAATTTAATATCTGTTGATGTCATTTTTGATCGGCTGCAACTGATTACACTTTATTCCACCCCAAACATCCGGAAAATACAAACAATTTAGGATGGATTATTGTGTTAACCGCAGATTATTAGTTTTTTGTTAAGATTTTATGACAGTCACATATAACGTATGAAAGGCACTTTTCCATAGTAATTAGATTGATATTCTGAACATTTACACGGCTACTGTAGATTTGAATAATTTAGCTCTTGTATTTTTTTTATGTGCAAAGAAAGTTTTGTTAGCGTCGTTGTCACGAAAAAGATCCTTCAATACTCAATAACCGTAAGGGTCGAGCTTAGGTATAAATTTGCAACACTCACCGGCAAGCAGTGGCGTCTCCTATCCATACGAGTGAAAAATTCTTAAGGCTTCGTCAAAGGTCAACATCTCTAAAAAATTATTTTTACAATAGCTCCAAAACTATGATTCTTATTATATGGAATATTTATCACACTGTAATGATGATTTTATGAGTTTGTACAAGCCAGACCTCATAAATTTTTTATTTCACATACTGAATTCTATCATTTAGTAAAACAAAAGTATTTCGAAAAAAAAAAAATGGATTTTCCGGGATGCGAACCCTGGCCCTCTCACATGTGAAGCGAGAGACATACATGTACCACTAGACCACAGAGCCGCGTTAACAGGGCGAAATTATATACGTACATAAAGTCACATACATGTACGTGTATATATTCACGTTCGATATATTGTCAAAATTTTACACAATGCATGGTGTCTAATTTATTTTTTTATTTAACCTTTATTAAACAGTTCTAATAGATGTAATAAGAATATAAAGTCCGCCGAGAACTTGTTTTATACGTAATAACTCTCCTTCATGCCCCTGTGCTAAATATAGGAACATGTAATACAATAAATACTAATAAAACAAACGGGGCGGGACACTTTGAGAGAAGTGAGAGAGCTCCTAGGGACTTTTGGTATAAAATTACATTGCAAAAGATCAAAATCCTCTTGAAATATCGCCCGAAAACGATAGTGTCACACACAAACAGAATGTATATATTTATGACCTGGAGTTTGACCTTTTGACCTCAAAATCAATAGAGGTCTTTCTTAAGCCACAGGGAGTTGTTATGTAAAATTTCATTGCGAGATATCGCGCGGAAACGAACGTGTTATAACAGAGAGAATTTATGACCTTGACCTTTGATCTTTTGACCTCAAAATCAATAAGGGTCTTCTTTAGTCCATAGGGAGTTGCTATGCAGATTTTCATTGCAAAAGCTTAAAGGGTTCTCGAGATATCGTGTGGAAACGAAAGCGTTACAGACAGACAGAGAGACGGACGGACGGACGGATGGACAGACCCAAATTAATATCCCCCACTTTTCAAGCGGGGGACAATATATGTTTATCATTGAAGGGCAAGTTGGACGTGAATGGTCTCTGAAAGGCTGTTATTGAAAGCATGACATGTATAAAGACAAGACCCCTGTAGAACCCGCCATTTGCAATGTACTTTCGCTTTCAAGTCTTAACATTTGGACAAATTAAACAGGGAAAAGAACACTCCAGAGGCTATCCAAGTCCAACTTGCCCTTCATTGATAAACATATTTTATTTCTGCAGTGATGGTTTTCACTAAAAGCACGGAATTAATTAGGTGCATTTTCTGAAAATATAATGCATTTTCAAAAATTATTTTCTCAATTTAAATATTTTTCCAAGTATTTTTATCAGGTGATACTTGCTATCTGTTAATCAATGAAAAATTTATAAACTGCAAAAGTATGGATAGGAGACGCCACCACTTGCCGGTGAGTGTTGCAAATTTAAACTGTCTTTGCACATAAAAAAAAATACAAGAGCTTAATTATTCAAATCTACGGTAGCCATGTAAATGTTCAGAATATCAATCTAATTACTATGGAAAATTCATGAAGAATTAAACTTTTTGTAAAAAAAAAAATATGGAGTTTGTTTTCGACAAAATGTAATAAAATTAGATTGGTATTATAAAAATATCCCATTCACAATATGAAGGATTATTAAGTCATTCATAAAAAATAAATTTAAATTGGAAAACCGTTGTCAACAATTTGCAAATAAACAATTCTATGATTGATTGATAGATTGTATACTGTTTAACGTCCCTCTCCAGAATATTTCACTGATATGGAGACGTCACCATTGCCGGTGAAGGGCTGCAAATTTAGGCCTATGCTCGGCACTTACGGCCTTTGAGCAGGGAGGGATCTTTATCGTGCCACACCTGCTGTGACACGGGGCCTGGGTTTATACGGTCTCATCCGAAGGACCGCCCCATTTAGTCGCCTTTTACGACAAGCAAGGGGGTAATGAGGACCTATTCTAACCCGGATCCCCACGGGACAAACAATTCTAATATACAGTTATACAAATGGTTGATAACAAATATCGTTCTTTCAGACAACTTCTGTGACTGTTTCTGTTCTTACACTCTCGGCAATATCAGTAGAGCGATACTTCGCCATCTGCAAACCGTGGACAAGAAGGCTTTCCAAACGGTTCATTCTGAGAACCATCATCTGTATCTGGTTGATCGGATTCAGCGTTTCCATACCGGACCTAATTTACTACTCGGTTACCAACACATTCCATGAAAGCGTCACCTTCTATCTTCGCTACTGCAGTCGCCAGTGGTTAGTTAGAGACAATATGATTTTTAACTTGGTCATTTTGATAGTGCTGTATTCCATCCCCATTTGCCTGATGGCGTACACCTATGCTGTGATTTCTAAACAACTTTGGCGGAAAGATCTTCCAGGAATTGTCGAAGCAGGTTTGGTTTGCTTTGATATACTCTGATGCTATATTATAATATTTTTCAAGTTTAAATCATAGCCTGTAAAACATGTATATTCATATATAGGGGTTTTCCATGTCAAACTTACAATTTTATATAATGGTATATATCTTTGGTGTTACTGAATATCATTTGCTCATGACTACCTTCATGTAAAATTATACCTACTAAAACTACTAAATGTTCAAACAATATTACATATAACAGCAAAACTCGAGTAGCTATGAAATTCATTATTTTATTATTTAATTTTCCCTTTTTAAGCATTGAAATAAAGTCAGTTTATCTTTCAAAAATGCCTATAAATTGGGCAAATTTTAATGTTACATCAAGCAGATTGAAACATTTTTTACCTAAGTCATTGTAATGTAGGCAACACAGGTTATACGATACAGACTTACTTTTTATCCAATCAAATAACGCGTTGCATCCCAAATTAAGCTTTTTTTTTATTGCCACTACAGAGCACCGTCCAATGAACAAGATGGCGTCATCTGGTCCAGAAAGTCAACTCCGATCCCGACAGCGAGCGGCTAAAATGCTGATTGCTATTGTCGTTGTGTTTGCTGTGTGTTATTTACCCGTTCATGTACTAAATTTAACAAGGTAAAACCAATAATGTAATCCTTGTCTTCATAGTACGTATTTTAAGTACTGGTCAAATATCTTGTAAAATCATTCTCTTGGTTTACTTTTTATTTGATTAAAATTTAAAGTGACAAATGATGTATCATATGTTTTACACATTGGAAAAACTTGACTTAGTGTTTAGAATAGATAATAATTTGAAAGTAAACAGGGATGGCTTGTCACGTACTTGTATTGTGATATCAACTCTGTAAAATTTTTAATACAACTTAATTATGAAGGTTTTTCCCACTACATTACATAGATATTTTTACAGCATTCATTTGCAAGTTGCAACCTATAAAAGTAAAAGCAGGTGGACCCCCTCGTTTATGATCTTTAATGAATCTGTTTACTGGATATTCTTCTTATACACTTTACTTGCAAGAGATATCGGTTATCGGAATTTAAAATAGGAACGATTTGTAATACTTCATTTTCCAGATGGTATCTATTGATGCTAATATATCCTCGTCAATCTTACAGATATACAACAGCGTTTACAGAAATCCCAGCCAACTGGATATCAATTATTGTCCTAACTTCACATATCCTTTGCTATGCTAATAGTGTGGTGAACCCTTTCATCTACAACTTCATGAGCGGTATGTATACAAAAAATCTTTTACTCTTGTGGTATCTAAAGTGCAAAGTCGGTGTCATATTTTTTTTTGTATAAACAACTGATGCAATCATGTATGAAAGTTTTTAACCGGCATATAATTGGTTTGTTGGCAGTATTTTACGATTTTAGTGTCCTGTACTTTAACGCTTTTCATTATAGGAAATCTTTTATAAGCACTAAGAATTTGGAAAACATCATTGTTAGAGATTGGTCCTGACAAATGATTGCTGTTTAGGAAAACATTATTTTTCCGGCACGTTTTGCTTGGCAATGGTTTAAAGCATACCGTGCAACTGAATACCGTAATTATATCCCTCAGTAAAAAGGATGACATATTTTGGAAAAGCATTCAGGCACTTTGTTTAAATTACATTTTAGGAAAAATTCTGAGCATAGTCGCGCACGAAGTGGTCAGAGCGTTTGTTCTAGAGACGCGAAGTAAAGAGTTGATTCGTACGTCGCGGGTTCGAATCCCACTGTAAGGTGTAATGACCGGTCCTTCGGATGAGACCTTTAAACCGGAGTTCAATGCCGCAGTAGGTGCTTGGACGCAAAAGATCCCTAAATGCTCAAAGGCCCCGAGTGCCGAGATTAGTTCAAAATTTGCAACTCTCCGCCAGCAAGTGATTGCCTCCCCATATGAGTGACACATCCTTGAGAGGAACATTAGAACAAAAAACAAACTTATTAGCATTCTCTCATTTCTTAGCGCAAGTCTCAAAAAGGTGTAGAAGTTGTCAAGTTCGTTTTTCTTTATACCGTTCAAGTTAATTGAAATAAGTAACTATGCTTATTACCTTTTAAAATAAATATGTTGATCACGTCCTGTTCGAGAATTACCACTCATATATAGAAACGTTTATGTAGAGCGGAGTGGATCAGAAACATATCATTTGGAATGATCAAGTTAAAGTTGGGCATACAACTAGGTAAGGGGTCTGGTCCAAAGTTGGTCCAGGTCGAAGTCCTAATAGGCCAAAGCTCCTGGATTTTAGAGATATTTTCGATAAGAAATTTTTTTAATTAAAGTATGATCCTATTTCTTTTCACTGTATCTAAATATGAGAATAAATAAAACGAGGAAAATGTTGAAATCATTGTCTTGAGTCAATTCCTCCATCTCCTAAGCTTCTGCTTGTAAAGATATTGATAGATCAGTTTTCTTGATGAAACCAATTTTACAATTTTGTTCGCGACTTCAAATCATTTTACCCAGATAACGATACCCAATCAAATATACATACATATTTATTTTAAAACTTAAATATTCCTACGAAACACAACCTGCAACTTAGTGCAGAGAAATTATCTTAACCCCCACCTACATGTGTCCCTCCTCAAATGTTTATTGAAAATTTATATGAAACTTTTTTTTAAAAGTAAAATAATTTTTGTATAACTTTTAGATATAGATAATGCAATTTTGCTGTTTTGGTGTTTGTTTTGCTATAATAATTACAACAAAGCTCGAATATTCATGTACTTCAATTCAAATATTAATTGTAGTTAATATCATGTTTCGAGTTTGAAATAATTTTGAAACTGAATATTAACATAATTTATGCATATGTATATATTTATTTGTTGTGACTTTTTGACCTGTGATTTGTTCTCAAATTTTGTCAACATAAAAATTTGTTAATTTTTTTTCTTCTTTTTTTTATTCCAGCAAAATTTCGCAAGGAATTTCAGTCAGTGTTACGTTTGTCTAAGTGCAAATGCACAAGTAAAAACATTCGTGTTCCCTCCATCATGACGACGTCATCAAAAAATAAGAATTCTCTCCCCAGAACAGAGAGATTTGAAATGAACATTGTTTCAAAGCAAAGTTGGTGTAAAGCCTCAACAATAAAGAAAGATCAGGATCCCCAGGACAAATACGGATGAAATTTAAACGTAATTAAGTTTCTCTTGAAGAATAATTGGTTCAGAATTCCAGTGACAATAATGATTGATGATTGAATCCGATTATTGGGTCAATTTGTCCATGAATCTTTGTAAGGATAAAATTATATTTGTGATATTAAAGGAGGTACAAGAAAGGGCAATGGGATGCGATTAAATTGGTTGGACAAATGTTATATTTTGGATATTTTGTTGTTTTGATAAAATTAAGGTTATCGTGAAATATCTTTTAAAAGAACAATGCCATTTGGATGTTTGTATTATATAAATTATCGAGAATAAACATACATGTAACATATATTTTAAAAATAATTGTGTTAGGATTAATGTTGCAACTTTACATTTATTCTTTACAACCGAAGAATAGCTAATGTGCTGTAATATTTAAAGGGCAGAATTGGGGAATTAAATGTACCTCAAGATTATCAAATCTGTAAGTAAAAAATGAAATGAAGTCCATTAACTAGCAAATATCTTGTAAGTAAAAACAAGGTTCCTCTGGGTAAATACTTGATTTTGTTGTTTTAAACAGGTCTGGTGCCCCGTGTCCAGGGTAACAACCCTCTTGGTACGTAAGAGATCGTTTGTTTCTGGTTTTCGAAAAAGGGGAGGCTCACTTGGGGTCGCCAGAGAAACCAAACATACATTTCAAACCCTAGTTAAGCTCGTAACCGCCGAAATAAGGCTGAAATATTGCCGACTCGGCGGCCTTAACCAACATCAGACAGGTCTTGATTATATTAAATTCTTCATAGTCTCAATTTTAGCCCAAAAAATCAATTTCGAAATCACATTTATCATGTAGATGAATAATTACCAGTACAATGGGGGCAGACTCCATCAAAATAACTCTCAAACCAGGTATAAAACTTCAGGCCTGATGGCAATCCTTTTCTTAGCTCACCTGAGTTGAAAGCTCGTGAGCTTTTCTGATCACTCACTGTCCATCCATCCGTCTGTAAACTTCACGTTCACGTTTTCAACTTCTTAAGAACCACTCGGCCAATTTTAACCAATTTTGTTACAAAGCATCCTTCCCTTACAAATGGAGATCATCAAAAAAAGATAAAAATAGGCTGGGGTCATTATAAAATCTTCTCAAGAACCACTGGGCACGAAAAGCTGAAACCTATATGGAAACATCCTGGGATAGTGTAGATTTTAAATTGTTAAAATCATTACCCTCGGGGGTAGGGCCCCACAATAGGGAATCCAAGTTTTACTTTGAAATATATTGGAAACATCTTTAAAAATCTTCTCAAAAACCACTGGGTCAGAAAAACTGACACTAATGTGAAAGCATCCTGGGATAGTGTAAATTCTACATTCTCCTAATTTTGACCCCTTGGGGGTAGGTTGGGGTCACAATAGCTATTACATTGTGGAAATCCGGTAAAGAATGGCATGGTCAGTTACTCAGGTGAGCGATGAGGCCCATGGGTCTATTGTTGCCAATAGTTTGATTGATCCCTCGTTACTGTGAAATCATTAGATTTCACGGCGGCTAAATTTTCGTGGAATTCGTTGGCACCTCTCTCATCCACTAATTCATTACCTTAATTCACGAACTGATTAAGGATACTAGGCCTTTATTTCCTTTCGTAGGTGTAAGAGAATATACGAATTAACGGTCCCGGGAACCTGTCAAATTTACACAATCCACGAAAATTGACACTCGCCGATTTTTAATAATTCCACAGAAGTTATCTGTTGCAGAAACCTGACGTAATGGTATGAGCGCGCGTATCCAAATTGACATGAGATAGCCGCCCATATAAGGGCGTAATTCACTGAGCTTAAATATCCATCCTGTATTAAATACTCTGAAATTAATTCGGTCGAGGCAGTTTAGAGTAGAAATGGATTTACCAGGAGAAATTTTCAAAAATATAATAGTCTGAGCAGTAATTGATTCATGAAGAACGCATTGAGGTTTTGGGGGACAAGCAAATCTTAAAGATAAAAATTTTAAAACAAAGAATATGAAAACAAGATGCCCATGGGCCATATAGGTCACCTGAGTATAACGTAACAACTTTCCAACAATTGAATTTAGTTCATTTATGGTAGAGGCCATGAAATTCTCAATTTTGAAAGAGGCATCATTGCTTTTCAAAACTATACACTAGCATGCTTACTTTGGTTACTTAATACCCAGAAGATGACCCTGAATGGAGTTTCTTCAGATCCTTGTGTAGCGATCTTTATATGAACAGATCAAAGGATCTGATTTTAATCAGATTGTCAAATCTACGCTAACGTGTTAAAAAATATTATACACGCTAAATATAATACATTTACAGTATTATAGCATATTATAACACACTTTTTGGCATAAAGAATTAAGACGCTTCTTTATTTTGAAATTTAAGATCAAAATTAAAAAATTCCTATATATTCCAAACTGTTTCGAACACTTAACTGCTTAAAAGTCACCTATTGATGATGAGGTCAAACTTCAAAGTCAGACATTTATAAAGTGTTTCAAGATATTGTGAAATTCTCCTTAAATTTTGTAATGAAGTTATTTATCACACCTCATAGTAGACCAGAAAGCTACGGATCTGCAGCGAACCTCATCATGCATTTAAGATGACCTTTTAAAGAAAATTTTTGTTCAAATCGTCAAGGTTAGAAATTCCATTAAATGCAAAAATAAAATTTAGACCACCTTATGTAAAAATAATGTTTGGTTTGTCCTCAATCGACTCGGAGGAGAAAAAAAATAGGTCGGTAGGTAAGAGGGAATTTTTTAACACAGAAATATTCAAACATATACATATATTTCAATAGATAACTTCTCCAAGTTTTTGCCAAAGAACGTAAAGTTATGAATTCTTTTCAATTCAAAATGATTTCTTTTGACAAGAAAACCGAAAATATGTAACGTTTAAGGCTGATCCTTTTTTCACGATTTTTCCAATTTGTTTTTTGAAAAATCAATGGACGTACATTTTCTAACTTTCAACTCTTTTTAACTTCACCAACTTCCATTTCTATGTTACATTCAAAGATTTCCATCACTCAGCAATTAGGATTGCTGTGACAAACGGCGAACCACTGGGTTTTATTGTGTGAAAACTACAATATAGAAACTCTTTGATTTTAAACCATATGTAACTTACGTTAACTTCAGTATACATACCAAGTTTGGGAAAATCTACCGTCCAGGTATTTTTAAGGGACCGTCTCAAACATTAACTATAGATAGTTTTCGATTGACCAAGAGTTACTTCCCGTTGGCCGCCATACTGGAGGTCCAAACGCTCATATTCCTTCATTGTTCAACCAATTTAAAATTTTTATATTTGCTACTCTGAATTAGAAATCATTATTTTTCTGAAGTATATAATTTTTTGGAAGCCTCCTTTATTTAAGAAAAATTATTTGATAAAGATTTTCCACCAAATATTTCTGCTTTAGTTTCTTAAACTTGGTAAGACAAAGAGGGAAAATCACTAAATATGGCGGCCAACGGGAGGTAACTTTCGCTAAATTCAGGCCTATCGAAAACTATCTATAGGATTATGTAGGAAAGTGCCAATTTTTCTCACATTTAAAAGCAAAAGTAAATCTTACAAATACGAGGGGTGTCCGTAAAGTTCGTGGACGGCCCTTAAATTTACAGGTAAAAAAATTGATATATACTTTAATTCTATCACCTTTATTTTGTAATTCTTTTTAACATTATACTTGAAATGTTTATACGAGTTAATTTGTTAAATGTAAATTTAAAGGATTTCACAAAGAGGTATTGGTACCCGGAGCAGCTTAAACTCGCCCGATATACGATTCTTTTTCAATTTTTTCTTTCCTCTTTTTAGCATTAGAAATCACGCTAAAATTCGTGAAAAAAAGCATTATAACGTTACTAAGAAATATAACGACAGATTAACAAATAAAAATTTTAAATTATTCAGGCACGCTTCTCAAATTCATCTCAGAATCTATGATTACGTCAGACAAATTGTCTAAAGAAGTGACAAATTTTGAACGCCGAGAGCAGCGTGCAGTGATTAAGTTTTGTGTTAACACTGGCAAAACCCCAACAAAGACGCATACATTCATGAAGGAATCAAATACTCATTCAAAAGTTAGTCGTTCTTTGGAATTCAAATGGCACAACCAACTTTTGAATGGACTATCGAGTTTGGAGGATAACAAGCGAGAGGGCAGACCGTCTTTGTGGGCGTCGGATGATGTTCGCAACGTCATCAATTGTGACAGACGTCTTACAGTACGTAAAATTGCAGAAAAATGTGGAATATCTAAAACTACATCACATAAAATCTTGGTCAATGAGCTTTAAATGAACCTCGTCTGCGCTCGATGGGTGCCCAGAATTCTCACACCTGAAAATATAAATGATAGGCTAGCTGCGTCTAAGAACTTTTTGAGAAAATATAGCAAGGATGGAGAATTTGTACATCGTAACAACTGAAAACTTGGTTCCACTATTACGATCCAAAAACAAACAATTACTCCAATGGAAAAATATTGACTCTCCACCACCAAAAAGCTAAAGTGACAAAATCATTAGGAAAAAATATGTATATACTCTCTATGGATTGAAAAGGAATGATACTGACACACGCTGTTCCGCAAGGAAAAACCGTCAACGCAGACTATTAATCAGGCATTACAAAAGAAGTGACCGTATCTGGCAGCGAATCTAAACCGAGTTATTCTTCAAGACAATGCACCTTGCCATACTTCTCTGAAAACATCCGTGGAAATTGATCTGTTTGGTTCTGAATGCCTGAAACACGCTCCATACAGCCCGGACCTAGCCCCAGTGGACTTTGTGATCTTCCCCTATATCAAGTCGTATTTGCGAGGTATACGATTTGATGACCAATGTGATTTGCAACAGGAGGTGATGAATGCGTATGCGTGGCAGTATTGGCGTATAACGCTCTCATACAGTTCAACTCGTATAGATGATGAAGGTCATTTTTTCGGACGAAAACTCACCAGTATGAACAAATATTTGATAAATGGATACAACGACCTCAGAAATGTGTATTGCTTAGAAGAGACTACGTTGAAAATCCGAGGTGTTTTCATAGACTAACGTTTCACAGGTAGGACGTGAATTTTACGCCGACGCATTGCTCCAGGTGGACATATCCCCCCCCCCCCAAATGAAATGCTTGACAACTAAATTTCTGATCATTGCATTTTCTTGAAAACTGATATACATTATAATTAAAGTATGATTTTTTTTTTATTAAGCCTTATTATTTTTTCTTAATATTACCTAGTACCATGAAATTGAGGTTGTCCACGAACTTGG